CACCGCTTACTGCCTTGTTGCTTGCCAAATGGCTTCCCATTGAGCAGAATTTATGCCTCTTCTCTCAAAGCAACAGCAGTTACTGTCAGCAGCCTAAATTGACGCTCCTGGAAACCTTCCAGAAAAACACATATTGAATGAGGGCCACATTCAATGTGTATCGGATAGCCTCTATTCCAAAGTAGCCCAATTAATTGCAATGGAGGGAAGTACTCCTTAACATATTGTTACAATCTGGGTCTGAGTATTATGCTATTTTCCCCCCCTCTTTTGTCTTTCCTACTACCCTGGGCCGAAAAATGTAGAACAAGGAAATGCGAGGGGAAAGAGGCCAAGAATTAATCTGTCTTTTACTTTGAAGACTAATGTTTCAGCCTTAGTTGGGTATTGGATTTCATTACAGAGTTTCTGTTAAACATAGTGGCTACTGTTCCTGTAGTCTCTGTATTTGTTGTCTCCTGAAAATCCTTAACCCAGATTGATGTCTCAGTACAGGGCCTGTGTTTGATTTTCTTCCTGACATCATTTTGCCAGCCATGCGTGAGAACGTTTCTAAGTGAGTTCCCACTGGTGGCTGGTGAAGCCTTTACTGCTTGGACGTGCCTTTGACTCACACAGAAAGCTCTTATTTAATCTGTCCTGATTTTGGTCATGTATTTGTTGTTTTTTGTTTCTTTTTTTTAATTGCAGATAAAGTCCTCCATGTGGAGCACATTGAACTTCTGACTGAAGAGTACAAGCAGCTGAAAAAAGAGGTGGCTGGAAAAGACCTGGTGAAGGGAACGTTGCATTTCACAGGTCAGTAGCTGTGAGGAAATCGAAGTCCATCTGGATTTGTCTGCCTGCTCTACAGGGATGCCAGTCCTTCCAGGCTTCATTCAGTCCTTTTAGATGAGAATCTGTCTATAAACTGACTAGAGACACAGGTATCAGTTCTGCATATTTCCATGAAATCACAGAACTGTCTGGATAACACCTTTACCCTAACAGTTGTCTTTGACAGACTGTTGCTTTGCTAATCTCTTTCTGCTGTCTGGTGAAGAATACAAGCCCATGCCTTGTTGTATGGAGGAGAGAGCACTTCTTTATTGCTTGTGTACTTTGGTGGTAGTGACCAATTTCTCATTCGTGGCCTCGGAGAGGAGCATGAGCTCTGAGGAAGTGTCCCAATTTCTAGTGGGGATCTTTAGTCTTCTGTACTGGTGTTTGGCCCCAGAAGAGCTGGGAGAGATTTTCAAGTCATTGTTTTTTCCCTAGTTTTTTTCATTGTTGAATCCACATACACCCTCCTGTCCTCAACACATCCTTAAGGATTTGTTGTATATGTACTTTTTGCAGCTTTCTCTGTCATAGCTCATCAACTGATCCATTTCAAGGTTGACTGTGTTTGTTGACTTTTCTACTCAGTCCATCCATTCATGGCCTTTCTACATCCTGGTCTCTAAGCCTGCAACACTGCAGTTTCTTCAGCCTTTCTTATACAGAGGGCATCATTTTCTTTCACATTTCTCATGATTTTCTGTTGCTGTCACACCAGGTAGCGTCCTTGATGAAAACAAAACTGGATTCCCAGCTTTCAGTGGAATTGCTCGACTGACTTGGCTGATTGACCTCTTTGGAGACCTCACTGTTACCTCTGCCACCAGAGAAATGCAGAAGGATAAGAATTATTCCAGAATGACTGTTCATTTTCAGACGGCAAACCAGAAGTGAGTAATGGCTGTGTCAGGTGAGCCACGCTGCTTGGGTATTGCCTGCAGGCGTTCTGCATCCTCTCTTCCTCTTGTGGAAACAGAATGGGTGGATGCTGGCATGAAGGTGTACGAGAGAAACAGACCTGAAAGTGCTTCCTATAGTAATCACAGTAAAATGAGCCACCACTAAACAATGTCTGCTGAGGAGCACAGAGAGGTTTAAATAGCTCTTTTCTGATGTTTGAATGTAGGAATGGGCCCATAATGCATTTATCATGCCCAAGACTAAAACTCAGAGAGGCAGGATATTTTTTGTTTTGCATCAGACATTCTATTTGTATGTTGAAAGCTAACCTTTCTTTAAAGGTTGAAAATATATGACTGTTTGAAAATGTAATGCATTAGTCATAATACTTAGCTTGTAGCACTATAATGCTTGTGCTAATATGTAGTACTAGCTGAAGGTTAATAGAAAATTGCACATTTTTAGCAGAAGTATAATGAACTACTGAAAGGCCAATGTGCAAAATTTGCTCTTGACTAATGCCTGCTCCACAGTCCTGAAGATTCCTTGATTTTTCCTGAGTAGGACATCAGTTTGTCTCCCATTTCTTGTCTTTTTGCTTTCGTTGCATGAGCGTGTCAGACTGAGCCAGAATTACTTGTAATTTTTTCCAGTCGTTGCACTATGACTTTCTTGCAGAAAACTCTTTTGATGATTTTACAATAGTGAGTTTGATCTCCCTTTTATTATATGATAACATAGTCTTGCTATCAAATAGTGTTTCATACTGTGGATTGAGTACTCGGTCCAAAATCTAGTGGTGTATTTTACTGGAAAACAGTTCGGTCATTCTGGGCCATCTGCATGGAGGTCATGTCCTTTCAGATGGGTTGAAGTTACTTATGAGGACAGTTTACTGCATGTTATAGATGCAACCTGAGAATTGTCTGATGTGAGAAGGTATAGAGAAGTTGCCCAAGCACTGTATGTTTCCTAGGAGTTAGGAATGGTAATGGAACAATTTTTTCCTTTCCCTTCACTCCTATTTTCCTGTTTTTCCATAAAGCGCACACTGCCTTTGAGCCAGATGCCCTCCTCGTAGGCATATGACAAGAGGCAGATGAGAAGACTAGGGAGAGCAAGGGAAAATTAGACCCCATGGGAAAATACTCTGGCCCATCTTCGTTCGTAATAAATTACCCTTTTTTTGTTGCACATATACTGCTAGAACACTTAACAAAAAAAAAAAACCAACAACAAAGAAAACATGAATTCTTCTTTAAGAATTTTAGATAAGTGTTTAGTTTAAAAATTAATAACCTGAAGTACTAGCTATTCAGGGAGTGAATAGTCAGGGCTCATTTGAACTGTTCGTTTCAGTTTTGGTCTAGTTAAGCATTTTATCAGCCAGTCCTACAAAGCTCACTGCAGTTTATCATGGGATAAGCATCTTGTCTTAGCAATCTTCCTCTCTCTTTAAATAAAACATCATTTCTAATTCCTTTTAAAATGCAGTTGTGAGAGGACAGAACCCTCTATACGAGTTCTGTTTACCCTCTTAGCAATTTGCCAGTAACATGAGTAGCTGTAAAGATCTATATAGAATGAGATTTTGAACTAATTCCAGCAGGTGGAACTAGCGGGTGACTTAAACATTTCCCTGGCTGTCCTGTCTCCTAGGTAGTTCTTAGCTGCCATGTATGATATTTGCTAGATACAGAACAGTTTCTGGATTCGTGGTTTTTTCCTACTCTACACCACTAACCGATACCTGGTTTTCTTAGCCCACTACTAACTTTTTTATGGGTCGGTAAATGTTTTGTCACCATGAGTGTTTTAATGACCTCGGAGACAGTCAGCTTTATGCCTCTGGGATAATTTACACTGGCTGGGAAGGTACATAGCGTTCCCGTATTCTGTTTCCTGCTGACCTTCCCACATTGACGTCAGCGGAGTTACAGCAGTAGAGAATTTGGCCCACTCTCCATCAAGTGAAGTTATGGCCCGGCAGTCATGGTGGTGGTGTTACAGCTCTAATTTGCCCAACCTTTATTTTGCTGAAGGATGGGAAAGGTCTGCACCTTTCCTGAAAGCTATCTCATCCTTTTTCAAAAGACATGAATACACTAACCTTGAGAAATCAGGTTAATTCAGCCTATTTTCTGCCTTGGAAATTACAGCAGGTGCAGAATGCAGCAGCCTGTGTTCTGCTTGTTAAGCAGGGATTTGTGCAAAGGCTCTAGCCTGTCTCTGCTGCACAGCTCGCACTGGCTGCTCATCTGTCTCTGGGTGGATTTTGGAGGTGTGTGTTAACTCCTGATGCCCAGCTATCTGAGAGATGACCTCTGCCTCTGTTGTGTTTCCAAGACAGTTGAGCCGACAGCCTCTCTGCGATAAAACATTGAGTAATCCAGGAAAAGCCAAACCTCTACTGACAGTACGGCTGGTTTGGGACTGCAGTTCCCGTCCCAGGATTACAGAGCTTGGATTCAGTAAATGTCAAAAATGAATTTATTTAGTGAAAGTGGAGAGATCATGATTAGGGCAATGTCTCTTTTAATGTTAACTAGGGGTAGGGTCTAACTGTCTAATTCCCATTCCAAGTAAGGTAGCCCTTTTTGATTGCATGGTAAATAAAAAATACTGGCATTTTCAAAGTGTGAACAGGAAGATGTTTAAAAGAAATTGAAGACATTTTCTGAACGCATGTTCTGGCAATAAATGTTTGAAATTATGTTTGCATTGAGATCTAAGCTTACAAAGTCTAATAAAAAAGCTTCGAATTGAGCATCCATAAAAAATCATGTAATACATGCTTTCTGCAGAAGACGCTGCATAAAATATTAAGCTGAGTGGACCCAGAATTCTTTCAAGCATGAAACCAGCTTAATTCTTCTGCAGGTACAAAGAATGTTCTCTTCGTTTGCTTTATTTAACTAGGACAGTCCAACTAGGGCCACTCATTATTTGAAGAAACCGGGAATCAGAAAAGCAGAAAGTCTCTTCCAATCTCTTAATAAAATGTAGCTAGGAGAGCTGTATCAGTCTAAAATCTGGAAAAACAAAATGACTATAAAAAGTCAGGGTGGTGTTTCTTCACTGCAGATAGTGCTTGCTTTGTAAAAAGTCAGTATAAAAGTGGTTTGTTAGTGTTTGGTTAAACTCTTTTTCTTCTTTAACTGTCCAACATATTTAATGTGGCTTTATTCAGCTACCAAAAATGCTGCATTTATTGCTTCTAAGTAACACTGCTAAAACTTCTAAATAACTGACTACATCCATAGCCAGATAATACTTCACTACAAATCTGTAATTAAAATGGGTAAATTATCTATTAAAAAAACTGGCAGTTCTTCACAATTTTCTGACAAAAATACAAACCTGCTTCTTAAGCTACAAAATTGCTTAAATAACATGCAGACGTGCGGCATACATATCTTTATAGCAAAAAAAGGGACTAATTTTAGAGTTGTTGTTAATTAAAAATTAACATGTTTTGGTTACCAATCAAGTAGAATCAGCTTCTCTTTGGGAAAATAACTAAAAATCCAATCACAGAATATAAATCTATGAGTAAAACCAACATTTTCCTGCTCACTGATCTAAATCAGTCATTTTAATCACTTTGATTAAATTCTGCCCACTGCATGATTGTGCTTCTGGTTCAGTGGCTTCCCCAAGCTAGAGGAGAAGACAACGACGACACACACTTGAGCCTGGTCATTGGTGTGTGCATCTGCTGTAGATCACCCCAGGGAGGTGACCCTGCATTGACTCTGCTGTTTTGGATCATATCGCAGACTCCCCTCTATTACATGGTGGAGATCTTTGCCTGTGCCTGCCCAGTGGTTTCTTCATACCTGCCTACCTGAGATAAAGCAGCTTTGAATAACAGAGGCGTGAACCCTCTGTGGCTCTTTGTTAATCTAAGAACATAAAACCAGCTCTGCTGAGTCAGAGCAAAGCCCAGCTTGCACAGTGGCCTGCCTCTGACCGAGGTCAACAGCCGGCACCTTGGGGAAGGAGGATGAGAACATAGAAAACACTGAGTGATATGACCCTCAAGCACCCTTCTGGCCTGCAGCAACACGTAGCCTTGGCACTTCCTGAAACACATGGTGTCGTTGCATTTATTAGTCTTCTGAGGATTTTTCTCGGTGTATTTTTGCAGGCTGTGATTTGGGTTGGTTTTTTTCTTTTCCTCCAGTTGTTTTATTCTGTTCAGTCAGGTTCCATCTGGCAATGCTTAATTTGTAGAGTGTGTGTGTGGCAGTACAGGTGAGCAAAGAATAATTGATACAATGATGTGAATATAGATACTGGATCCTAAAGCATAAAAGATGAGAGGTGCAGAATCCTTAAGCTGACTGCTCTGCAGAATGTGTTCAGGGTAGACCAACAAGGACTTTCTTTCCAGATCTAATGATATTGAAGATTTAATGGGCAGTACTTGGAGACATAATTTATTCTTCCATGCTATTGATGCCCTCATAATTTGTGAGTAGCAGACTAAAGTGGGCCATAAAGGACTGTGGAAGGGCCATCAATAACCAAGTAAGAAAAATAATATGCATCGTCTAAACACGGGCAGTAGTGAGTGCTGATTAATGAGCTGCAGAAAGGTAATGGCACGGTTTAGGCAGTTGAAAAAAAAAGAGCAGGAAGGGAGGATTGTGGCTGTGGCTGGTGTTGAGGACCATTCCTCAAAGCCTCTGCAAGCATTTGCAGTGTTGGGCCAGAGAGTCTGTTAAGACCCCTGAAGAAATGCAGCGCCTCCCATGGCTCCTCTTTCCTCAGCCAAGCTAGGAAGTTGGGGATGAAGGTACGAGGACCTGTGAGTTATGCCAATTGATAACCAGCAGCACCGATGCTTGGCCTGGAGGCTGTGGCTATCACATTGGCATAAGACAGGACTTTGCTGTCATTAAGAAAGGCCTGCCTGAGAGTCTATGTAGCTGAAACAGGCAAAATTGACATCTTCTGGTGTAATCTCTAGGATCAACTCAGTGCTCCCAGTGAAGAGAAAGAAACTTATTTGAAAAGTTCAGAGAGAGTATGGAGGCTAGTGTCTGCATGAGTGAACTTGTCGTCTCCAGCTCTTCCTAAAGAGGTGGTGTTCAGCTTGCACAGTAGCACCTGGGTTGTCACTATGCATCCGAATGACTATTCTTGCTGGAGGAATGACTAGACAGTGAGGGCCTTGTTGAGTTTAGCTGTGATTGAATAATGCCAAAATATTTGGATGTTTAACTGCACTTTTCATCCAAGTCCACAAACAAACAGATTAAACTTCCCTCTTCCCTGTGAGATGGCTAGATACTGCTGGCTTTGCTTTGTACATAGGGAAAACAAAGCTGTAGAGCTTAGATAGTGTGCTGAAAGTCATGGCATGAAGTGGTGGCAGAGTTAAGACTACTACCTGATGTTCAACTCCATAACCACAAGGCATGTTGATCAGAACATGTTACCTGAATATGCAATGATGAAAATTTAAAAATGGTGCATTTATTAAGTCATTCTCTGGAAATACTGAGAAAAAAAGCATAAACTATAACTGTTGATTCCATTTCTGCATAAATACTCTTCTTTTTCTCTGCTCCTCCATACTAGACCTCTGACTTGGATTGAAGAAAGGGGACCGGGGATGAGACGTGAAAAGAAAATCAACTTCTGTTTCACAAGTGGTTGCCTGGAGAACTTCCCTCAAGCCCCGAGGTCTGCTGTGGGCCTTTTCATGCAGGATCAGAACCTCTTTGCCAAAAAACTGCTGGGCCAGGTGTCCAAGGAGGAGCTGGCTGCTGAGAAATGGCGGATTTTGCGGTGTCTTGACCTTGCTGAGGTCATCCAACAACACTGTGAACAGCCAGAGAAAATCTGTTCCTGAGACTGCTCTTAGGGAAGAAGAAACACAGCAGACGGGAAAGCTGTAGGGCTAGAGCTCACTGTTGCCATCAAGCAGTTGCTATTTCTGTTTCTTTGCCTTCTTTTTGACTAGTTATGACTCCTAGGCTCTCTGGGTGGGCTGGAGAGCCTGGGCTATACCCTGTGCCTTCTGGCGTGTGCCAGAACAAAGCAACATTACCCCGCTCTGATGCGTTGCTGTCCTTCCAGGCAGATAGGAACCTAGCAGCAACAAGCTTTCCTGTGGTTGCTTCCACCCAGTTCAGTTGGAAACGTCCCTGAGAAGCAGATCCTGGAGGACCGCAAATACTAGACTACTAAACCTCCTGAGTTTTCTCTTCCCCCCCTCCCCCTCCCCCCCACTTTATTCAGATACACCCGAAAATGAGATGTGTCTCATTTGGTAGTATTCATGTAGTATTATCTAGAAAGCAGTATTAGCTAGAATGAAGTTCTAGCTGAGTTTTCCACCTCTACTTGATCTGTAGAACTTGTGCCACCACTGGCCTGACCTTTTCTTCCAGATGCCTTGAATTGTTCTGTGTGTTTGCTCTAATTAGTATTTCTGCCTGTTTGTTGGGTTTTTTTGTTTTTTTTTTTTTTTTCACATGGGAAATCATCTGCCTTGAAACAGAGTCTATATTGGTATCAAACCAGAAGAGAAGAAATATCTTGTCTCTTGATAGATGCGATGTTGAGTTCACTGAGTTAATTTCTTTGGTGCCCTGTGCCAACATAGAAATCTTTTTTGCAGCAGAGATTAGAAAAGTACATTAAACTAACACATTGCCTGCCTGCTTTCTACTGAATCTAAATATTTTTCTTTTTTTTTTTTTTTATACTGGAAGCAGCATATTATTGCCCTTCATTTGTGTTCTGTATCTAATTCAGCATGTGAATGGATCACTGCTAAAAATAATGTACATCCTGACTTTAAGAAAAAAACACCTAGGGTGCTCCTGGAAACAGTGAAGTTCATTAGAAATAGTGATAAAATTAGAATAGAACTGTTGAAAATGGAGCAATTTGCAAATATAGCCATGCGGTTGTGGCATATGACACCTGTGGGGATGGGTCTTTAGCATTTTACAGTAGTCCCAGGGTCACATATGAAGACATTATCATTTCCCTAAAGAAGAAGCATTTTAGTTTTAGGAAAAGCCTAAACATTGCACAGAACTATTAACAATTCCTCTGTTTGCCTTTTACTTTCTAAATACAGCATCTATCGCTGCTATATTTATATAGGAGCAAACTTTGGTCTGTGCAGTTGTTCTTTTAAACACAGAACCGTCATTTTTTTACATTATCACTTGAGCGATTTTTTAATAAGGGAGCATAAATGTTGTGAATGTGTATATAATTACAGCCAGGCAATATTGATGGAAGAAAGTCTTCCTTTAGGTAAATCATGTTCATTCAGAGGTTGGGTACAGTTCAGTCAGTTTGAATTAGGGAAGGAAAGACTCTGTATATTTTTTTTCCCCAAATCAGTCAGATATTAGGAGCAACTGGAGCTTGATATGTGAATGAATTCCGCATGCAAATTTTTTAAAAAATCTACTCTATCTGTTAAAATGGGTGAAAAGCCTCCCATTGATGTCAATGGATTGAAACCCACGTGGGTTGCCAGCAGATTTGTGCGGGCAGATCGTGCATTTGCCCACCCAAACGGACACCTTACTGAGCATTTGCGGGGACTTCTTTACCAACATGAGGGACATTGCCTCGGCAGATCTGATACTGTATGAGGGGGAAAAGCGGGTTTGTGGCAAAATGCAAAAAGTCCATCTGGGATCAAAATGAAATTAAAATCTTCTGTGTATATCTATTGGCTATGTATGGCAGCACACGAGAGGTCCTGTTTCTTGACAAACTCCTCAGCTGTGAATACGGGGTGAATACCACTTGTTTGCATGCTAATTCACAAAGGATAGCTGGGGAGGGAGGGCAAAGGGAAGGGAGAGTCACACTCCCCATCTATAGGCATCAAAATTAGCCACCAGCTCTCCCTGAATGCTCTCTGCAGTTGCTGATGAGAGCAGCATTCCTCTAAGAAATGGGGAATGAATTCATGGGAGCTCTGTGGAGAAGCAGTATAACACTGTGCAGTGAATCACTCTCAGGAGAAGCTTGTTTCTATTGAGAGCGCCTGGGGAAATTAGCTGGTTAATTTGAGGTAGGGAAGGCAGATGCCTAGAGCTGGATATCCCGTGCTGTCCTCCATCCCCCTCCTATTCCTCCCAGCTAACCTGCTTGCCTACTGCTGTCTGCCCTGCTCCTGGGAGCCTGTGGCATTCAAATGGCTTTTCCCTCAGCCCTGTGAATTTGCTGAGGTATCGTGATGGTTTGTATACGAGAGCTACTGGATGTCAAGCTTTGAACGTGCGTGTTGTTTAACCAGATGTTGAACTTGCCAATAAAATACTGGAGCTCTTAATCATTCCTTTTAGTTCTCGTTGTCCTTCATTAGCAGTTCCTGTTGCCTGTGCTGAAAGTGGCTCTGTCCTGACCAGTTCTTTTCCCCCCTTTCATTCCTCCAGCGCTGTGAAATCCTGGCTGTGACTACACGCTGTGATCCTATACTAAAGCCCTCATCTGTCTCCCTCTCCTGTTTCAAAGGTTTGAACACAAGTGTGGTGAGGTTTGTGACCTTATCTCAACTCGTGAGCCCTCCCACAAAATTTCTGCCCTTCAGGTCCCCTCTGACTCCTGCCCAGGAGTGCTGGCAAGTCTAAATCTCAGCTGTACGTTTCCAGTTTCCCATTCAACAACTGGAATATTTGAGCAACCTTTTTAATCTGCTGAGTAAAATCTGAAATGGGTGTTGAAATGGGTTTTCTTGTGGTTTTAATAAACTGCTTTATCACAGCAGAAATACTATCAGAATAATTTTTCAGATAGTATTTGGCACAGCCTGAACCCAGCCAGTTTTAGAGATGCAGAGGTATGAAAAGGTAAATATAAGGTGTGGCATGGGTAGATTGGTATATCACGTTCTTTGGAGGTAGCTGCTTTTCTACTCTTTCTGCTGGGAATCACCCTGCTCCCGTGGGACGCTGTAGGAAGCCCACTGCAGTACACTTTATTAACTCTGCCTGATGCTGTGGAGTTGTTATGGAAAGTGCTGTAACGCACAATGCTCCTAAGTGAAGAAGGGATGCTAAGTTTGCTGACAGGCTGAAGCTTTTCTCTGGCAGATGAGAGGGATGGAGTCATGTACTGCAGCATGCTAGCTAAAACCTGGAAGAGATGGTTTGATCCAAAGACCTTTTCAGAGGGCTAGAGATCAGAGGAATGGAAAATTTCCAAAGAACAAAGAAACTAGCTATTTATATAAGGACTTGCAAAGCAATGTGGGAAGCTCTGGCCAAGCAGGAAACAAGGTGGGTATGATTTTGGGATCAAGTGTTTACCTGACAGCCTGTTCTGTGGGGACTGGGAAGGGGGTCTGATTTAACTGTGTGATTACTGAGGACTGTCAGGAACAGTATGGGAATATGGGAGGTGGGATGAGGGGAAAGACAAAGAGGACTGGAGGACACCACAGAAGCTGCTTGAGCTGGCCTTATATATGAGGAGGACATCACTGGAGCCCCCAGAACGGATCAAGCAGACAAGGAAGGGGGAAGGCAAGAAGGGGCAGCTGTGTAGACTGGGGCTGTTCTTTAGATGGTCCCAATATGTCAAAAATGGCTGTTTTAAAATGAGTAGTATGTATGGCATCTGAGTAAAACTGCAGTGCTGAGTTACAGAAAGTGCTTCAGGGATTGCAGGTCCTACAGCAGTCTTTAGAGGGGTCAAGGTTGTAAAAGACTGAAGTGTACACATAATTTCAACTATCACTCAAGGTGTTTGATTCCTTCAGGTTGGCAGTATGGTTTGGAGCCTGGGACACCCTCACAGTTTGCTGGTGAGTGACCCATCAAAGGTGATCCTGACTGGATGTCTGGCTCCGTAACAATGTCTCCAGTGAGACTTGCAGAACCACGTGCTGATGTGCTTCATGCAATAGCATTTACTGCTCCCCAAGGTATGTGGTATGCTCTATGCAATAGTAGTAAAACATAGCACCAGGAAGCCAAGAATCTGCAGTAAAATAATGACTCCAGACTTTTGACAAAGCAAGATACTTGGTTAGCTGTAAGCTGGTATCTGTAGAGGCTGGATTAAATGAGGTTACAGGTTTTTCTTTAAAGAGTTTTTCTTTTTGAGTTTTTCTTTAAAGAAGGGATACAGCACAGGTATTATCAGTGCAAACTTCAGCTCTAACCCAGAAGAACCCAGCCTTGCAATGGGAAGACAGGAGATGTCCACGCAGTGCAATGTGATGCTGTATAAAACACAAGCTAGCTCTGACTGAGCTACCTTGGGTACCAGGAGGACCAGCTTGTGGTGTAATTTGATTCATCCATCCATCCATATGTGGCCAGCTGGCCTACATGGAGCACTGGGCTAACTCGTTAGGCCATGTAGACATACCTGCAGGTCAGCCCTAAGTGCCCATTTGGCTCCTGGCCTGCAACCTGAAACTGCCAGCATCAATAGGATCTTTCTCCTGTTTACACTTATCTGTTGGGCAGCAAAGGGAACCCAAACACCGTTTCTAACATGTAGCTTCTGCTTACTTGCTGACCCAGCCTGGTTAAAACAGACAGCTGTTTTCTTGCCCTTGAACAGAAACATAAGGCTCAGGAGGCACAGGGCTGCTGCATGGTGATGCCCATGAAGCTGCCAGCATCCTCCTGTTGTTACAGCTGGCAAAGCTCCAGGCTTAGCGTTTGTCTTCCCTGTCTTGGCAATAAACACACCTTACTGGGGCCCAGCTGCATGCAGGTAAATAAGGAGGGAAACTTCAAAACAGTAATTTAAGTAAAAATCCCATTGCAAGAAGCTCCGAATAATTGCCCGCAGATACACATGCTAGCTCTTACAACAATAAATGCATCCTGGTCTAATAAAAATCACTTAGTCCAGGTTACTGCTTAAAAAAACTTCTCTAAAACTTCGTACTCAGAGCATACTAGATTGTATTTAGTGTGAGCTGGTTTTCTGATTTTGCCGCTGCTGTTAATGTCACAACCTGCCTGCTAACGTTCCTGTCTGCCACACGCCATCCTGTCTGACCTCTGCTGAGTCACTCCTTTTCCCTGATAAAGGTTAACTTAGAAAGAACCCAGTAACTTGTCTCCCAAACAGCTCAAATTTCCTCAATGTAGTGAGTAACTAATTCACTGAGTTAGGGCTTTCTGTTGCTTCATGCTTGGGTGTTATTCAAGTAACAGAGAAGTAAAAATAATTTTAAA